CTTCCAAAGACAATGATGGAAGAAACACCTGAGAATAGAAAGCTTTCAAAATAATAAAGTGAAAGTGAGGGACACAGTCAAACTTGAAACTCACAGGAACTTCAACTGGAAAAGGTGGTCAGAAAAGAGAATTTATAAATAAGAGATGAAAGCAATTTTTGTGAGTTAAGTAGCCCTAGTTAAAACCTCAGCATCTAGTTCTTTACAACAGTCCCCTCCTGTTCAGGTTTCAAGGCAGAGGGTAGGTTTTCAATTTGGGGGTTTTGGGGTTTTTTGTATTTTTTTCTTATTTTTGTGGTAGTGCGCGTGTGTGTTCTATGTTTTTTTTTGTTTATTTTATCTTGCATCACTATAAAAGTAAATCTTGACATCTGATGACAATTTCTTTGACTTGCATATTTTATACTGGTTAATGTTAGAATATTATATGATTGAATCTTTTTACTGTGAAGCTGGAAGAATTGGGAGTTTTGAGTCCCCTTTTGTATGCCTGTTTCTTTCCTTTTTTTTTTTTTTTTTCCTGTAAGACTTATACAAATTCTTGTTCATCTACTCTACTGTTTTTATTACTCCTGATGTACTTATTGCTGGATAGCACACATAACCCTTAGGCATATATTAACTTGTCTTCAGCCTCCCCTGGTTTCCTTTCCTGCCAGTTCTCCTGTTACTTTAAATATTTTATTTAATCTGTCCCATACCCTGTTGTCATACAGTATTGTATGTGGAGACATCAGGATCCCCTTTTCTTCTATTGGTAATAAACCCAGTGTCTCACACATGTGCTTTCTAGGCTCTATGTGGAAAGGAGACAAGTCCAGAGCTGTTGTATTTAGTTTCCCCCAATGTCTTATCCACTTTTCTTCTGAGTTCATTTACCTCTGCACAGCTGTATTTGCTGCTGTCTTGCCAAGGCTGTATTTTTTACTTTTTTAAATATAACTTCCCTAGCACTTAAACTTGGGGAGGGGAGGGACTTTTTTTTTTAACTTGCATGTTCAGACTCCTGGGGACGTGAAAAATGATGTCAATTACTTTAAGCTGCATGTCATAAATGAGCAGCTTTCTGGACCAGTGCTATCTATTTGGCTTTTAAACCCAGATCTGTTGTTCCTCTATGAAACCTGGCTAACAGAGATGCTTAATTTCTTCTCTCTAATTTGAAAAAATCTTTAGCAGTAAAACTGCTTGTGAGGATCTAGAGAACAAAGGTTTTCTGCTCTTTATTTGTCTTTTGTGTAGTTTGTGACCAGTTATGAGGGCTTCTGTTACTCCTTTTCAGAGGAAAACATGGATTAAGCTGCATAGCTGCTATTGCCACCCTTTGGTAACACAGCCTTCTGCTACTATACACATTTTGGAACATATGATGTAAACTAGTGTGGAAGGTTGGGTTTTTGTTTGCTTTTTAGCAGAATACAAATCCCCATTATTAAATATTCAAGGGATTCTTTCCCCCATTATTAAATGTTCAAGGGATTCTTTCTTGCAGTGATGGGGAAAACTGGCACGGTTTTCACTGCCTGAATTAGTGGTCTCTGATAATGTAAGCAATTGCATTTCATATTCTTCATGATCTAAAGAGCTGAATCAACATGCAATATTATGTGGGATATGAAACCACCCTATTGATGCATATGTAGAGACTACTGGTTGGAAATTATGAGTTATAATTTCCTTTTTCTTCCCTTCTGGATATAAGTGAAGTCACTGTTGWCAAGGATGTGTGATACTCTCTTGTTTGAAAGAAGGAATATCTTAAAAAGCATCTATTCTACAAAGCAAGTATTGCTCTCATCTGCTAGGATGTCTTCTGCTTATTTTGTGTGTGGGAGCCAAGCCAAAAGCTCTGCACCCTTTTCTGAAAAGGTGAAAAAATGCTTTCTTAATCATTGCTTAACACTGCAAGCAACCAAGTAAACAGACTTCGKTAGTAACTGCTCTCCTTTGGTCAGTGTTAGCACTGAAGAGACCTCWGCCTTAGAAACTCCTGCTCTTGCAGAATTATTTGAAGTAAGTCTTGGCATTTCATAACTGAAATAATTCTTATTTTTATATTCAACTTGATTTTTTTAATATTAAAATTGCACCAAAAAGTGATGATGGTGTAGGGTTGATACAGACTTTGCATATTTTCAGAAATGTGGAGTATGAGWTCATAAATGAGAAATACAATTCCTGGGAGCAGAAAAGGAAATGTTTTTCTTGGAGAGGATTGAGTAGAGAATGGGTCAATTTGAAAACCTTTCATTTTGTGTGATTATAGCTGGGCTACAAATGCCATTTCACTCTAAGGGAGGACTTTAAAACATACCTTACTTTTTGATTTGTGCTGCAGGTCAGATTTACGAAAATGGTTATTGTGTCACCCTAGAAATTCTTGCTTTGTTGCAAGACTAGATTTTAAACCTTATTTTTATTATTAAAAAGGCCAGCAGCAACAAAGACTATTTTACAAGTTCTGAGACATTTTTATGGCAATTTGATCTTTATATACAGGTTTTTTAGAGCTTTTCGTAGGGTGCTTCTTAGTGTATGTAAAACTCTGAAGGGTAGGAGAGGGCACATGAACATTGATTTGCTTCTTGTCTGAAAACTGTTCGCTGTTGAGAGAATTTTGAGTAGAATATAAATACTCAGCTCTTCATCTACTGAGGGCCACTCTAGGAGTTTGTGGGTTGATGTTTGACAAAGATTCCCTCTCCCTCTTTTGAACTGCCATTATGTACTTATATCTTTCTATTTCTACTCAATTTTAGTCAGAGATACTGGTATTTAAAAAAAAAAAAAGGGACTCCTAGAAGGACAACAATGCCAGATGCAACTGCTCTACTTTATGTATTTCAATAAAATATATGCACTGCTATTTTTGACTTCCACTCCTTCTGGTGATTTTTCTGCCCTAACTTGTGTACTCCAAATAAAATGACCATTAAAAGATTTGATCAACTTAGTTGTTTCCTGCTCTTTCCAAATATTAGCTTTCCAACAGTAATTAGCAAGTCAATATCCTCCTGTGTCCCACGGTGTTATCTTCTCCTAAGCTTCCGCTTTAAACTGTTCACTCTGTGCTTGGACATTTGTTCTTATAAAAGTGTAATATTGAAAATTGTCAAAGACAACTTTGTTGGCTTCAGTAGTATAATTTGGATACTTGCCCGTATCTCTTAATGGGGATGTGTTCAGCCTGTTATGGACCTTGTTTAAATTAATCTGTCATAATTATGTTCTCAAAAAAACAAGAGATATCAAGATGGCAATGAAGCTATGATTTTTTTCTTCTCCCTCTCTGAAACCCTGGACAGCTTCTGYTGGATCTGAAAATTGCTAGGGAAAAGCATGTAGGTTACAGTATTGTGATGCATTTCCAGCATCATCCTGGAAACTTCTTTCTGGAAAGCACATCTCCTTCTCACACCTTCCCATGGTCTTCTTGCCCTGTGCCCTGCTGAGCTGCCTCAGTCGTGCTCTCGAGCAGCAGAGCTTCTCCTGGGAATCCGTGTCTCCAGCAGGATTTGCCAGCTTGGATCTCCTGCCGTGGCTGAGGGGCCGCTCTGCCCGGCAGCAGCGCTCGTGCTGGCCCTAGCCTGCCTCGCTCTCGGCGCTGCCTCGTGCCCCCCGGCTTCCCTGCGGCAGCCTCGGTTGCCCCCAAGGCCGCGGTGCCCTCCAGGGGCTTCCCGGAGGGCTGCGCAGCCGGGCTGGGGTCCGCACGGGCCCTGCCACGGAGCCCGAGCATTTTACTGCTGCTGGTTAATGCAGGGCGGCATGGAAATGCCGAGTAACAACAGCTCCTAAGCCTCACTGCTCGACTGAGGCTTACACTTCATGTGAAGCTTCGATTTAGTCTTTGATTTAGTCATTTACACTGAACACATGGGCAATAATGATAACGGGGGCCCATGACGATGGTGCCCAGTGTTGTAGAGACTGCTACCCCTCTGAAAGCAAAACCCCGCATAGTGTCATCAAAGCTGACTTGTAAATAGTGTTTTCTTAATTGAACTTGAGAAAAAAGCAGCTCGTGTGTGTGTGTCAGCCTTTTGTATTCCCAGTTTTGTGTTGAAAAGTCTTTAGTCTGTGCTTTTAATTGAGTCTTCTTAGGGAGTGTTTTTTAATCCCTCACTGAAATGCCATTTTTAACAACAAACCAGCCAGCCTCTGCAGAACTTTCTGTGAAGCTGSCAGCATCTTTTGAGAGATAAGCAACCCTTTCTGAAGTAAAATAGTTGAACAAATAATACTAACTGAAAATAATAGGTGTGGGGTGTTTTTTGTGCATGTTGTTTTTTGTTTGTTTTTGTAAATCTTTGTGGATTCTAACTTATTTAAGGAGCACGAAATGGAAATATTGCCATTTAGGTAGTACAAGCTTCGTTGTCTTTCTGGCTAAATTTCTCTTCCCATTGGGATTGAGTAACTGAAAATAAGTACATGCAGTGTTAGGTATGTCTCTAAYTTGCTTCCAAAGGTTCAAGTATGTTCTTGGCGGGGGGGAACAGCATTGGTGAACTGACAACGTCCTCCTTGGATAATAAGACCRTTATGAATGATGATACTAAGTGCTAGGTTTAGATACAATTGCATAACCAAGTGTAAGTTTGTGAAATGAGTAAAGGATGTGAAAGGAGTAAAGGATAAGCAATGCAGCCGCATGCCCCAGCTCTGAGCAGATGTTCTCTGCTCATCAGGAACGTCGCAGCTCAAGAYGTTGGAGTTACCAGCAGAGACGTTCCTGTTGAGACTGCGCTGATGCTGCTGGTAGCCTCAACAAAAGTGTGTGTTATTTATGCACTGCTATCTCTAGGACTGTTTGGATTTGAAGATTCTAAGCACTTTGATAACTGGGCATTTRTTAAAAGTGCTCAGGAAGGCGGTAAGAGCTGCTGTCAAATATGCTGTTTCAGTGAGCATCACAAACTGTCTGAAAGCGCAATAAGGGGGATAAGCCTTTTGCAATACTATATATCATAATTAATATAAATATTTTCTTTTAAAAACAGATGCAACAGTTGGAGTTAGCACAAATGCAGCAGAGAGAAGCCAACCTCACAGCTTTGGCAGCCATTGGACCGAGGAAGAAGAGACCTTTGGATTCATCAAATCTTGGGCTAGAGGTACTGAAATGATTTGCATAGCATTGTTGTATCTTCTTACCGGATTATTTTCATCTTTCTTTATAGGGAGAAATGAGAAATACTTCACTAAAAGACTGGATACATACTGTGTGAAAAGCAGTCTGCATGTTGGATTTTTGCAAGGATTACTTCTGACAAATTTAATGGGGATGTTAATTGCTTGGTACAGGGAAAACTGTGGGTAAAAGTGGTGTGTACAAGGAGCTAAATCAGATGATGTCTCAGAAACTTCGGCCTGCAGAAGAGGGTAGCAAAGGCCATGATAGTTCTTCACAGCAGCTAGTTATTGTGGCCTATCAGTAGAATTTATGGAAATAGTTTTGGATGTCTCTTGAAATGGCCATGACTCTTGGATTTGGCTGCAGGCAGTTTGCTGTGYGTGAGGCACAGGGACTCTCTGAACACACCGTGAGCTCCCCCCGCTAGCAGCCAAAGAAAGCGAGATCCTTCACATCCTGCTGCTGTTCCAGGAGTGAGGCAGGGCTCCTTTTCTGGCCCATCCTTCATTTTTTAAAAGTACTTTTAAGATGTTTTTAACATATCTTGATTTAATATATCCCTAATGTTGTGCAGGAGATGAACCATTTCAGGAACCTGGGAAGCTTCTGAGGTTGCACAAGTTCTTTTCAAGCAGACTGACAGGCTAGCTCTGTTAGATATTATCATCATCTTGGCTGAAGATGGGAGAAATGGGTTGCGAGGCRTGACTCAAATGTTGCCTCTTCAGCTGTTCTCAAGAAGCCTCAACACTGATGAACGAACTGGCAGTTGGCTGGCGACCCAAGCATAGTGAATAGAGCCTGAAAAATAACTCTTGAAGAGAACGGTGGTAAAGCTGTCTTGTTTGAAGAGAAAGCTTATCTTTTTTGTTGCTCTGCTCTAGGAAGTCCAGGTGGATACTAAGGTTAAGAATGCTTAACCTTAAGTATGCTTTAGTATTTTTGATTGCTGGAGTCTGGAAGGACCTTATATAAAGCTTAACTGATATTTGCAACCCAAGAGAGGAGTGTCTTCCAACCTATGTTTTCCCTTAGCCTGGACTGTGGCAAGAGACCCCTGTAAGGAGACGAGGTGCACTTGTTTGTGGGCCCAGTTTTGACATGGAGACGCTAACAGCTCCTTGAACGCTCACAGTGTATAGCAAATAAGTGAAGAAATCTATCTAAGCAAGTCCCCAAAGCTGTATTCCGAGCCACTCTTTTAATGCACTTTCACATAAAGCTGAAGGTATAGGTGCATCACTGGAAAAAAAAAAGAAAAAGTGAGTTTAGCAAAGTAAGTTTTCCTCATCCTTTTTCTTCTTCCTCTAAGCTGTCAGTGAGTAACTGTACCTGTTCTCCATAATGTGTTTTTTATAAACATTGCAAGACTTGTTTCTGAATGTTTGCCAAGTCTGTTAGACGCTTTGCAGTTATTTCTCATTGTCTGGGATGTGCCTGCTTTGTTAAAAGCTCAACAGGATTGTACCATAGTGAGACAGATAGAGGTGTTGATACTGTAGGTTGCTGATGCATTATTTGTTTGCTGCTTAAAAGTACTGAGTTGCAGTATGTTTAAACTGACCATAAACCTTAATGACATTTCATTATCAAATTTATCTGCTCTGTTTTAAGATCCTTCTCTTCATATGTTGTGTTACTGCACTGAGTTGAAAGGGCAGTAGGTGAAGGGAATTCTGCCAGTTGAAACTACTCTTGTCTCTCCTATGCCATCTTGTTTTGCAGTGCCTAGTGCTTGGTCTTCCATGCTACCAGAAAGCAATTCTCCACATCTTCCTTCATAGAATAATATAGAGTAATAATTTGTACAAGATGTTTAAACTTAGRTGTTTAGCATCCCAATATATCCGAAGAGGATTTGTAAAAGACTTGAGATTTCTCCTGTAGAATAAAAAGATGGTTTTGACAAACATTCTGTATTTGAAGAAGCAGAGCATTTGTAATGCATTCGTGATAACATGGCAAAACATTCTGAGCAGTAAACAACATTCCATTCTTCAGAGATGAAAGGTCTTTGAAACTGAAAGCAAGTACAGTATGGCCTTAGGCTGATACACATTTGGGCATCTTTAAAATCATCTTTTTGGGCAACCTGTCTGAGAAGAATTTAAACAGGCAGAATGTACTTTCTCATTTCAAATTACAAATGCAGACAGTTTTACTCGCAAGTAATCTTAAATGTCAGAACTTCCTGACTGTGCACTGGCTAGGAGTAAATTTGTGCGTAATACTCCTGTGGCTTTTTATTTTAAACATAATGTCTTGGCAGACAGGTATGATGGAAGTATTATTTCAGAATACAAATTATCCTTTGATAGTATTAAATAAAATCAGTAATAATAACTGTTAGACCTTTCTTAATGTAGTCTTCAGCTTGCTTTAAATTATGCTTTTTGTTCAAATTCATATTTCTTAAGTCTGTATTTGAGGTGGCTGTTCAGTTTTTTTATCACTTACTACTGTAATTATTTAAAAAAAAATTTTCAAGTCATTACTGATGTAAACTTAAAGCCCCAAGATGTTTGGAGAGGAAGGGAAGAAATGATCAATTACAGAACGTACTGAAGAAAAGAAACTTGAGTTAGTTTATTATGTATTTTCCTTTGCTAGRCAATCTAAAGGGTCCTGGAAGAGTGTAGCTCATCAGACTGGGTTGGAATGGATGCAGTGATAGCCATATGGGGCAGAGGAGAGCACTTGGATAGGTCACAGTTTTTCCTTTCTCCACAAGTTAGTGTTAATGTTTTAATTCAAACAGTTCTTCGTCCAKAGGTATCTGCTCCCACCACAGTCTGCCATGTTGCTTTTACACCTTACCTGGAAAGTCTTTTCCAYGGCAGGACTGACTTGCTCTTGGAAATCTATTTTCTTTAAGGAAACAATCTTTTAAGGCAACTTATTGTGGCTTATCTTAATCATTGAATTTACAAAAGACAAAAGCATGTGGTCTGCAGGCAGATCCCTGCTTATTAGCAGGCCAATCACCTCAGTGTGTGGTAGGCAACAAAGGAAGGAAGATCTTCCTGCCCAGAGGAGTTTGTCATCTAACTTGGATCTAAAGGCAGTGTGGAAAGGCTGAACAGTATCCTGCTGTAGTTTCTGCTCATGTATTTTACTCAGATATCATGAAAGACAAATCCATGAAGATGATGTGATGAAAAAGTAAAGCCTAACACTCTAGGCCTASGAAAAACAGCACTACATTGGAATTCTTTCTCCCTTCTTCTGGGGGTAGTCTTGCTTTTTCTCTTTTCTGCAACTTACTCCTTCGTAACAAAAATACACAAAAGTTAACTTGAGAAAGTCCTGGTAAGAAGATCCCTCTGTTGCTAGTGTGCTAGTTGGTGCAACTTGTTTTCCAAAGATATTAATATCTTCATCTCTCCAATTCTGGTCCCTTTGGATACTTTCAGATATCTGAGTGGGGGAGGCTTTTAGATTTGATTAATATGTGTGTTTTGCTTTTGTGCATCTGTTATCCACCTCTTCTGCCCCTTATGTGGGGGCACGTGGGCAATATTGGTGAATTAGAGTATGGGAAACTTGGTAAAATGAGCTGTGTCCTATGTAGTGTGTCTCCCTGTCGCTGCAGCCACGGTTGCAGTGACGAGGTAGGTTGGTCTGAAGGACTTCCCAGGACACTGCCCTCCGCTCTGCGGTTTACGTGGTGCCAAGCACCAGGCAGCTGCTGCAGAGATACACGGTGCCGCTGGTGTCCTGAGGTCAGCACACAGCTACTCAAAGGCTTTCTTTCCTGTAAAACTTGTAGCTCTGATCAACATGTGTAAAATGATACGACGCTTGAAGGGTGRTGCATGTTTTCTAATGCAACATTTCCCCAATAAGCTCCTGTTTCCTTCTGGGAAGTATTTTGGCAAGAGGAAATGGGAGAAATAACTTGTTTTCAACAATAGTTAGTTCTGTTTTAGTACTGATTGAGTGGAGAAAACTTGCCAGTCATCTTCCCTTTCAAGMTGAAGCCTCTGCAGGCTGCAACCTGGCCATTGACTGCAGGCCTTGAATTCCACCTTCTTGGTTTACAGCTTAGGATGCCAGCATGCACGGATGTCAAACATCTTGTAAATGCAGCATGTCAACCTTTGGGAGCTCTTTCAGGTGAACCTATGAGGAGCTAAACATTTGAACAAAAAGTCTTCATGCAAAGTGAATGAAGAAACCCTCTGTTCCTGAGCGCCTGGGGGGGGGAGGGGGGGGCGCGGAGTTATGTTTCCAGGGAACTTTGATAATTTTTCCCCCTCATTTGAGGTGGGATGTGTGCCATTGAAGGGATGTACGGATTTACTCTTAACTAATAGTTGTTGACCCTGACTCTTTGATCGTAATTTCCTTTAATGAATTTTTCTGTGAGAGCATAAATTCATCAGCTTCAGTACCAGCATTAAGGATGTGCTTAAACCTGACTTAAACTTAAACTTGGCTCATTTGTGAATGACAGTAGGTTTGTTGTCCCACGTATGTCTGTGGGGTAGAGGTGTCCAGCTGCGTCCCCTGCCTGGTGCCTGCCAGTGCTCAGCGGATCCTGGTTGGGTGCTCAAGTATTTTCTCCCATGTGGCAGAAACTGGGTACGAGGGACCCTCTTTAAATGGACCCGGACTGTGTGCGTGCAAGTAGGTGTGTGCACAGACAGGCTGCCAGATCCATCTCTACACCTGTGGGATTTCTCCCTGCTRCTCCTCCCCAGCCACTTTTGAGACTTGGGTTTAAAATGATACGAGGGGGGTTGTTTTGTTTGTTTTGTTTTGTTTCCTCCTCCCTTTCCATATGCTTAACATAGGCAGACCTTTAATTTCAGCTTCCAGGTCTTCCCTAAGCGCTTGGACAACTGGAGAATGTACAGGGCAGTCACGATACCTTGGGGAAAAGCGAAGAAGCTCAGAATGTGAGGTGATTGCAGAAGAAGGATCCAGCACCTTCATCTGCAGCAAGACCTGGGCACGTCCTGTCAGCTGTAGACACAGTCTCAGTTGCAGCCCTGAATTTCCTGCCTGCTGTCAGTCTAGGCCATACTCTTGATGTGACTTTTTTTCCACATAAATAGGCTAAAATATTCTCGACTGCCATTCATACATTYTGGACACACAGTCCATTGGCCCGTATCTTGCCTTTTCTGTGTTAGAGATGAACTTAATTCGTCTTATGTGTGAAAGATATCTGCAATTTAAATGACTAATTGCACTGTAGCTTTAGGCTGAACGTATTGGTAACACACAAATGTTGATGACATGTGAAGGGTCAAGAGATTTATAATATAGTTGACAATACATTTCTTAAAATGATGTGGCAAAGAGCCAGAAAATTTCAGCTTAATAATTGTCCATTAACTAACATGACATATTWGTATAGTATTTGTTACCTCCAGGTACAGATTAAGCATCTGATGTAGCCATACAAAGTGACATGCGTATATGAATCTTGAGCATAATAGTGAATAAACTGACATTACTTTTGTAGTAATTTGTTTCAATATGTAAAACATTTAGTTGCCTGCATTTGAAAGGACTTGTAGGGATGTTGCAATGAAATCTAAGGGGGAAAAGAGGTAGTCAAATAGCATTATTATATACATATATTCGACAGCTTAGTGGGGCTGCTTTGTAGACTACACATAACATCATAAATATACATGTTTGTTTTCAGCTGCATGAGAAGCAGTTTGGAAATAGAGATCTAAGCCTCTCAGATGTCAACTTGATATATCCTAATGGTCTACAACGATGTTTTTTTCTTTAAGGAGGAGGGAGAAGCTTTGTGTGGCTTTTTTTTTTTTTATCATATTTATATAAACATTCTGAGTAATGTAGTATTTTAGTACTGCGAATGTGGGAGTATGTTACTAACAGACCGAGGCTTGTTAGAATAGGCAGCATCACAAGTCTGGCTTGTCACCGAGGCAATATCAGCTTCTCTCACTTTGTTTTCTCTAGGCTAAACTCTGCACTTATTTCTTCATATAAGCATAATGTTCACAATTCTGGCAGGGTATTTTTCCTTCCCCTTGTTGCCAGATGAGATCCAGGAAAGTGTCTGAGCACTTCACAATGCATTAGTGGATTCTTACTTTCTTTTCTCATAAGAGGAAAAGAGACTTCTACATTTTACAGCTGGGAAACTAGTGTACGGGATATATTAGGTATCATAGATGTCAGTGTGGCCACAGGTGACAGAGCTGGGAGTTAAACCTGAATTTGAGATTCTGTTCCGAGTTATTAGATTTTCTAACCACTTTGTGACCAAGTTTCTACTTCAAGCTGTTGTAATTTTTCAGCATTTGGAAATGTCATTGAAAACTACCTTCTGACTTTGCTTCCTTTTTCTGGTGATATTTTTATAGTGCACAGCAGGGCTGCAGTGGCAGTTTTGCTCTCTTGGGATCTTAGCTCTGAGACTTGGGAGTTTGTGTGCCACACCAAAAATGTAAATGAGAACTACTGCCTCTGCTTTTAACATTTGATTGAACAGTTTGCTCCCTTCGTGCTCCACAGAAAATAGGATTAGGAGTTTCAAATTTTAATGTGTGTGAAGCCATAGGATTTGAGAAGGGAATACGTACTCTGCCAGGAAGAGCTCACTGTGGGCTTGACCCAAAATTGTGGGAAGGAAAGCTTATGCTGACCTGAGTGAGCTCTGTATCGTGTCCTATGTAATACCTCTGAGCAATTTTAATGTTCTTGTCAGTAATTAAAATTCCTAGATTATGTGYTTCACATTCCTTAGAGACAAGAAATAACACTGTGATGATGGTTCAGGTAAAGGAAAAGATCTGTCTTGCTACTTTAATTTCACAACTCTCTTTTGCATCAGGTTCTCCTGCTTTTTCTGAGAGAATCAATGTTTAATTCTTGGTCTAGCCACTGGAGAGAGCTCTAAAGATCTTCAAAGGCAGGTTTAGGAAGCCACCTTCAACAGTGCCAGCTGCAGAACACATCCGGGACCAATGCCAGAGCCCCACAGTGTGTTCTACTGTCCAATACCAGTACAGTGAAAGTTCCTGATTTTCATCAGGAATATGTAAAAGACCCTGAGGATCAAGAAAGGGAGAGAGAGGTTTTGGTTTGTCGCAGTTGCTGAGGAGCTTTTGGTGCTGACGGTGCCCTGGCTGCTGCGCAGGGCGGCTTCCCTGGTGCAGGGCCCCGTTGCCACCTCGCGTGGGCTCCTGCGCMGGTGGCCTCTGACTGATGCTGAAACGCCCGCCGCAGGCGGCAGCGCTGCCGCTGGGAGCCAGGCCGGCTGGAAGGTGGCCCCTCACGCCGCACCTCTGTGGTGGGGGAGTCCGTGTGCGGGACGCAAACGGGCTGCTGGCCTCTAGCTTTGCTCCAAAGGAATTTGGTGAAAGGCGGTAACTCAAAAATCCCAGATGAAACCGTGAGACCAATGCTGTGCAACTGTGGGGAACAAAGGCTAAAAGATATCAGTGCTAATGCCTGGATAAACTTTGTTCAGAAGTACGTGCAGGAGCCTTTGTGACACCTAGCAKATGGTGCCAGGTGAGTTCCCCTACAAGATGAAGTCTTTCTGCAGTCCCAGGCTGGACCACAGCGACCTAGCCTGTCTCATTTTTTCTTTTTCATTTTTTCATTTTAAACCATCTTGCCCTTAGCGAGGGAACTCCTCTTTTAACTTGCATTTGGTAGTGAGCTGGTTCAGTAGCTCACAGAGTACTGCGTTTCGGAGGGTCTTCGGCCGCTGGGATACGACTTGTGATGCYGTGTGAAACTTAACATGATGCAGCTGCTGGAGCAAACAGAGGTCCAGGACAAGCTTTGGCCTTGGAAATGACGTTTGCAGTGTAACACCATTGCATGCCTCTGCACTGGGCGGGAGAAGTAAGGCTTAGCAAATCTGTGACTGGGATGCAGGCAGCCTGGAGCTTCTGCTTTGCAGATCCGATGGCTTCCAAAGCAGATGCAGGGATTGGTGATGCCTGCTTGCTTTTGTAAGGGAGCAAACAAGATTTCGAGGGGGTGTTTTTGTTGTTCYGTGCCTCTTTAAAGGTAAGACTTCCCATCTAGTGACTATTTAGAGAGAGAATACTTTCACCTCCATAAAGTTCTTCTGAATTATAGAGGACATTGCTGTTGGGTTACTGGAAGCCCTTGGGGTTTGTTTCATTTATAACACCGCCTCGGGCCTTCTGCTGCATCCTGTTGGAGTGACCTCCTTTTCAACCCTGCGCTGGCAGCTGCATTGCAGAGCTCTCTCCTCCCGCATCCTTCGGGGCTGTCACATGAGGAGCCCGAACTGTGACCCTCCTGTGCCTTTGCCGGGACCGCGGCGCCCGCTCCGCGCCGTGCGGCGCCCGCTCCGCGCCGTGCGGCCCCACACCTGCCCACGATCCCGTTTGTCCCGAGCCGTTTAGCAAACGGGAAGGTTCAGGCTGTGGCCTTTCAGTGTTCAGCAATATCGGCTGCAAAGCCGAGGAAACGATGCCGAATACCCTGCGTGCTGCTGGGGAGAAATGCAGCCTCCATTTCTGCCGTATGCCCTGGCTTTCTGCAGCTCCGTGCTAGCTGGTGAATCCTCTCTTATTTTTTAATGAATTTCAGTGCTTTTCTCCCCTAACAACACTAGTACTYACTGCTACAGACTGGTATTTGTTTCTAATACATGTTTTTTTTTTTAAAAAAAACCTGATTTCTCTAAGCCAAGTGGGCAAAGTCATTTTGCTGAAGTCTTGCAGAGAGTGTTAGGGTAAGAAGTGATGTAGTTACCGCAGCATCCAGGCAACACCGTCTCCGAGCGGTGTTGATGCTGGCAGGCATTGCCGTGCTGAAGTTACAGAGACTGAGCGCTCGTATTTGTACAAATTGCATTCATTACCAAGAACCCTCCAGTAGTGATAAGAGACTGGCTGTGTAGCATAGATTGGCTCCAAGATAAGTAGCCAGTCTATTGTACAGCTCATGATAATCTTCCTCCTCCCCACCCCTAATAATAAATCTTGGGGCATTTTGGAATGCGTGGGGCTTGCTCATTCCAATAGCCTGAATGTCTAACTACTAAACATCATCATCTCCCCACCAATTGTGCTTTCATAACCRAGCAAAGCAGCTGACAGAGATAGATAGGCTTGAATATAACGTTCTGAAAACACAGATGCCCTGACTTTGTGTATGTGCTCCCTTAAAGAAAGGACTGTTCACAAATGGCCCTGGCAAGAGCGCACTTTTTCTTCTGGCAACGTTGTAAGGGTAAAGCTTGTTCTCGGTGACAGTTTCCTTCAAGAAATGTGAACGTGTGGAGCTTGGGTGTTTGCAAGTGGAAGGAAGCCTTGCACAAGCTCTGCGTGGAAGCTGTGGTAGCACCCTCGCAGCTAGCCTGTCGTTTGCCTCTGCRAGTACTAATGGAGTTTGACTTCAGTGCAACTCCAGTTATTTACCATRCCATAATATAGTTAGAAATAGGAAATCTTTTTACTTATTTTTCCTTCCTTCCTTTAAAATAAACTATTTAACTAGCAGACACTTTTTTTCTTTTAAAGCATCTAATGCACATGGAGTTCAGGATTGTTATTTTGAACATGTAAAACTGAACGTGGGCAGGCTAGTTCTGTGCAAGCAGGCCTACAACCAGAGTTTAATGTAAAAACTTCAATTGATTTGTAACTTTTATTTTCTCCTTTCAGGGTCTGAATGGCAACGGCGTTGCTCCTGGATCACCGGGTTTCAGCCTTACAAAGCCCTTGCTTCGTCCAAGAATAACCCGCGTTTGTCTCAGGGACTTGATATTCTGCATGGAACAAGAAAGGGAGATGAGGCACTCTCTAGCCTTGTACCGTGCTCTTTTGAAGTGATTTGAGTTTTACATTTCAACTTTGCTGTCTACTGCCAAAGAAAACACTGAAGCGTTGTTGCACTGTCTTGAAATTCCGATTTCTGGAAAAAAAAGATCCGTTGTAAGGATAACTCTTGTTTACAGATAAACATTTTTATTAAATACCTATCTTATCACCTGTAGGGTTTTTAATAATATTTGGCTTAAACCRATCTGTAAACCAGTGAAAACACTGAACTGCACACACAAGCACCTGATTACCTGCATGCCTTTGACTGCCTTGCAGGCTCTGAGGGCTTGAGACGTGTACCTAGTTTATGTATGTCACTTGCTTCAGTACTCCAGAGCCTGCAACATCTGTTCTGTGTGGGGTGCCTTCTTCTAATCCAACCTTAGGGAAGCAAATTAACACGTTAAGGGCACTGCATAGCATGACAACTGTATTTAATCATGAGCTAGCAGTCAGCCAACATGCTAATGTGTTGCCTACCTGACTCTGCATCTCCTTAAATTTTCTGGGTTTGGAATTGCTACTAAACGTAGTGGAGAATGCGGAGGACGAAGCAGCAAGTGAAGGRACGAGGGACACCTTCTCCCCTCCCCTTACCTCACCTCCAGTGCCCTCTCCCTCTCTTCTGAGAAAGCAACTGAAGGAAGGAAGGTAAATAGATGGATAATTCCTGTGATTAACGTACATCAAACAGTGCAGTYGCATGTAGCGGCATACTTCCATGTTTGGGAAGAGCTGGAGTTACTAAACTTGAATACAGGGAGTGAAAGAGCCTAAAAAGGAAGGGTAAACTGAAGAAACAGATCTCTTGTGTTTTTTTTTCTTTAAGTAGATATCAAAAATAGCAATGAACTCAAACATGGGTTTTTTAAAAAGAAACGGACAAAAGCAATCTGTGCTGACTGCAGAAAAGGGAACACTTAAAATACACAGTCTAAAACTTTACAGCTGGAACCTCTTTTAAGAAGAAAAGTAGTGTTTGCAAAGCACAGTATTCACTACTTTGAAAGTACTGATTTAATTGTCATCTTAATTTCATAATACCYTAACGTGGTAAAACAGGGGAACTTCTTAAATAGAAGCTAGTTGGTTTAGCCAGTTGCCTGGTTTCCATTCAGTGAGGAGGAGGGCTCCAGGTTCTTAAAACTGCTGGAAGAGACTTACAGGTTTTCTGCTCCCCYAGTAAAGGCTGTCTTATGGTAGGAGGAAAAAAGACTCCCGGTCATTTCCCTCTCCCCAGCCTCCAAACCCGTTGCCTCCCAGGATGCGGCGCTGTGTAGCATGGCAGGGCCAGTGGGAAAGGCACCGACTGCACTCGATGGCTTCCTGCTGGAACTTCTCTCTTAAGGAACCAGCTTCCCGTGGTTGCTTGGCATGCTCCCTTGGAACTTGAGGGGAGAGTTCAAACACGCCCTCCACCATCGGAAACACTGCACATACTTACTCAATTCAGTAAGTTTTCAATCAGTTATGGGKTTTTTTTGTGTTGAAACAGTAGTAAACAAATTTAGTAAATGAATGCTGTAAATTATTTATATATGTATATATAGCACATATATATATATATATGAAAAGCAGTACTTTGACTAAGCTATAGTTTGCAAGATATTGATGGCATCGGGCAAAATTGTTTTGTATAATTAAATGCTTAAGCTTTACTTTTTATGTAAAGTGCAGCATTTTCCATATTTGTGTACTGTATCTTATTGATCAGATGTTTAAAATTATTTTAAATACTGCATTAAAGCAATTATTTTATTAAAAATAACAAATCGGTAATTTTGTCTATTTCTTAATAAGAGAAATCTGAAATTTGGCATCATCATGACTAATGGCATGGCTCTCAATGAGTCCCCATTGTATCTGCCAATCACAGTAAATTAGTACTGCTACCAGACTTGAAATATAAACTTCCATCTAAGAAGGCTTTTAATTCATACTAGGTGAGCGAGCTAAACTTCCAGAAAACCAACAAAAAATGCTCTCACTTGCTTAACTGCCCATGAGTCAATACAAAGGCTGGTTTCTAACATCTAAGCAGAGGTAAGCACTTTGCATATTTTCCATGAAGTAAAAACACAGGAAGCTTCTCAAAACTTCCACAACATGCAGGGGAATCGTTGCCCTAAATTATCTGTAAAGCAATGCTAAATTAAGCACAGGTTGGAGAACAAAGCTGAGCATCTGCATACTAGCCTGCCTCTTTGACTTTTTAATATCTCATTAGTTTAAAGATGAAAGATATTAGAGAAAAAGCTCTTGCTGAAAGAATATCTATTGATCAATTATGCAGGACAGATGCTTGAAATATTTCTGACATGCCTACCGTCAGCACTGYGTGCCAAAGCAAGTTGTCTCTTCCCAATTGCTTTAAAAGAAAAAAAAAAGGCATTTTYGGAAAACGGTTCAGTGGGTCTTGGGGCTTAATTTCAGACAGGGGTAGTCATGGGTTTGGTAAAAGGTTATAAATACTTCTGCCCTTCCTAAGGCTTCACCTCTCATTCCAGCGCTGTGCTGTGGGATTTGGAGAACAATAAACATGGCTTTGGAAAGAGTGGTGGGGAGGTGCTTGAGCTTTGCTCAACCAGCCCAGGAGCTAAAGGAGAGATGCTTATGCACACTCTCTCCCCTCCTTTTTTCTTTTTTTTTTTTTTCTTTTTCCCCCAAGTTTACATTGTATACTATTATGCAGAGGTAGACCACTCAATGCAAATACTAAAAATCCTGTTGTCAGGCTGTGAGGACAAGCCCTGCCATCATTCTCCAATGCCTTTCAATGTCACGAAGCTTCTGTTCAAGGTTAGGGATTCAGCAGCAGAGCCATCTATGTCCTTGATGCTCCAACAGTGTTCTTAAACCAGGTGCTTTCTTGCTSTCCAGGTCATCTGTTAATCTATTGCTGTCCATGATATTTTGCTGTTTTCTTAAAACATTGCATGCAGTTGAGAGGAGCAAAGGGTTATTGCTGGATCTTGACTCCTACTCATGCTTTTTCCCTTCTTTTGCCATTTTCTAGCCTTAGTACTGAATCCATTTGCCAGCCCTTTACACTATCTTTGATTCCATCTTTTCTCTGCCTCTGAAAAAGACACTCGCTGATGTGCTAACATACCCTCCAGGATTTTTTTCTGTGTTTAATGAGGAAGGTAGCTGGGGCCCTGAAGAGCTTGCTATGCGATTCCTCAAAGCTATTGTACTCTCTTGGACACTTAGACACAATTAGCTTAAGGCTTTTGTTTGCATTGAGTTGTTCTAGGCCAACTTTCTTGTAAGCACCTGTGTTTTGCCATGTAAGTGCACTCTGCCTGGAAAAAAATGCTGTCAGCTGTTCTCCAAGTTCACTGGTTTGCCCAGTTTTTTCTTTGCTTGCTTCTTTTATAGTCATTAGGGTTAAGATGAAGAGACTAAGGCAAATGAGGGTGTCCTAGGGTGCAGACTGTCCGAAGGTTTGGACTTTATGAAATGGGCTTGCTGGAGGAAACAGATCTGCAGTGAAGGCTTCCCTCCTTTTTGGAACGCAGTCTTTAGTACAGAGACTAAAGCCCTTGGTGCATCTGACTCTCTCGTGACACCTTTTGGCACTGGGCTTATTGCCATGGGTCAGTGCCTTGTCCTGCCTTCCTCTGTAGGAAAGTCACAAGCCCAAAATCCACTGGTTTACTTGGTGCAAACAACATATCCCTTTTGCCTCTGCAATTAGYGCTTTGAAGGCATTAGCAAAAAAGCACTGTCTCTTCGTTTCACATGTATTGGTCCTTGCTGCTGCTCCCTTTTATTTTCACTTTTATTGCAAGCATAAACCGGTCGCTCTTCGTCTACCGTCTGCAACTATGTCAATGTGCTAGTAACTTGCTTTGCTCTCTTTTTCCCTTCTAAAAAGCTCCTTCTAGGCCCCCCTTTCTCGGGACTTTTCCAAGTGAAGGAAGGAGGAAAAGAAGGATTTTTATCCTTGCCTTGAAAGCTGAATGTCTTTTCTGAAATTAAAGGAGCTGATGCTACAGATTAGTTCATCTTATTGTTCAGACTTCTGCTTTCTTTGTAGTGAACAGGTCTCATGGTGGCCAACCCTTCTACCATTAGATCCTTCTTTGGTCAGTATTTTTCTACAAGWTCCTTGAAACTGTAGACACATCTTGCCTTTCAAAGAATGTTTCTCTGACAGGTAACYATCTTCTGACCTGCTTGAAATTCCTGCCTGAGACCCCATCAGAGCCAGTTGCCTGTTCTCTTCCCAACCTCTRTCTCAAAATCCTGGCACTCTTTGAAGCATCTTTTCTACAATTTGCTTCTGTCTCAGAAGTTTCAAAGTTTTCCAGCCATGCCTCAGATTATCCAGTTGGATTTTGGGCTGTATCAAGACCCAGGGATGATCAGTCCCAATTCCACCAGGGCTTGGCCCATCACTAATGTTACTGGAAGATTAGGTCCTYTCTAGGCCCAAGCTGGGTACAGCATTTGCTTTTATGCAGTCCTTTGGATCCTTGCAAATCTTTGGTCCTCGAAGCTCACCTGAAGGTAACTACCAGACATACAGATGGGATGTGTTTGGAGTCAGCAGCAGAGCAACTGTTTGCATTCGCCACTGAAGTGAGCTGCTGAAAGCTCACTGTCTATAAGTTACTCACCACTGTCCTCCACTTCCTTGCTGTCACTCTCCGGTGCTTCTGCACTTACAAGGAACTACAGTGCATGTGGTGCCACTGCCTTTGGTGGCTCTGCCTTGGCTTGAGAGAGGAAGAAGAAGGAAGTTCTTCATGGGTCCTGCTAAGGCAAAAAAATAAAAAAAGGGTGTCTTACCAGACTGGCACACTCACTCCCACTGTGCATGTTTTCCTTGAAGAACTGCAGTTATTGGTGAGTAATTGTTCTCTCTACCAGATCACAGAGGGCATTATTTTAAAGTATACTTGAAGTTAAGAATTATCTGACAGATCAACTGTATCTGTTTCTGAGAGCTAATTTGTAATTATGTAGCACTTCCCCAAGCCTCTTGAAATACTTGCACTTTGAAGTATTTAGCATGACATGGTTATTATTTACAGCTATTTGAAGGTGTTTCTTTTTTCTGTTCTTAGAAGCTAGAAGAGAGGAGGAGGTATGGGGTTTTTCTTCTATTAATTATGTGTGAATATAGATGTGCTCTCTGTGTGTGAAACCTTATGAATTCTTTTAAAGGCAATACTCTTATTTCTTCTAAGGACTGAGTTGTAACAGTTCCCAGGTGTGAAACGTCAGCAAGGGAGATGAAAGAGAAAGGAGAGGATTTCTCGAAGAAGTTACAAGATTTAATATGTTAAAATACATTTGATAATTTTGTGAAAAATTGGGCAGGGAAAAATGATTCTGCTGAAAAGCTGATCAGCCAGCATTCTCAAAAAGAAGAGTAGGAAAAGGAGAACTCACTCAAAGGACTGACCACAGCACACTCCTATCTCCAGGTACTTTTCAGTCTGCCTTTATTCAAGCAGGTAAAATCACTGTCTCTTTTACAGACTATCTGTKTATCTCTAGAAGAAAAATCATCCATCAAAGCATGTGGGTATGTATATGCAGCCTGCATATTTAATAAAGCAGACTACTTAATGAATCATTCCTACCAAAAAAGAAATAATTCGATCTTTCACTTCAGTGCTGTGTTCCCTCTTCCTCCATATTTCTTAAAATTTGGAGAAATCCTTCTCTAGTCATCTCCTCTATCCTTGAAGGAGTGGCCAAAATGATTGCTTAACAAAACCATGTCAGCTTCAGCTCAGACCTGCAGTCCAGCTGTACGACTGAAGCATTGCCTGTCTGCGGAAAATGTATAATTTTCACAGGACTTGGCGCTCCAGAAAGAGTCTGAGGATAATGTGTAGATGCAGCACATGCTATTCAGTATCTCAGTAGGAGAGTAGTTTTCCTTACTAACTTTCCTAACTTCAGAAAAGCACAGGCAGAAAAGCCCATGTAAATATCTGTCTAATACAGAAATTGGGGTTGTGCCGATTTTTGTCAGTGCTGGA